TTTCTTCCTCTTCTTAACGGAAGTTATAATTAATGGAAGTTTCAATTAACGGAAGCTACGGAGATAGGTGGGAGTAAACATTAACGTACAACACCTTGAGCAGAACTTACAATATAATAATGCTATAGAGTTACACCAACACATTTTTAATACCTAAAAGACCCTAACCCTCATTGGTCTTTATAAGATTTTAGAGATTGGCACACATTAGTAATCGTTTTGTCAATTCAGTTGCTTTTGCCAGAGATTGGCGTGACTGAAAAGTTTTCAGCCAAAATGGTTTTGTTTTAGTTAAACAAATTAGGTCGATTCGAGTTTAAGTGGATTTTTTTTTGTGTTTAAGTAATTTAAATAAGTTATAATCTGAATGGCTTGGAATCTAGTAACTTCCTTCCTAAATCAGAAGAACCATATGCATCAACGTTGTAAGAATGCTTTGTAATAAAAAAAATGATTCTTTATGTGCAAGACTGCTGCGGCTGTTTCACTTCGATTTCAGAGAAATAATTATTACTTCTTAATTCTTATGTGTTAAACTATATAATCCCTTGAAAAAAAAGTTTATTCAAAGCATCTGAAGTGAATTTTATTGAATACGATTAGGCTAATCAGATTAGCTAATGTACGAAGTATTAAACCATTTTTCAAATTGGAGTTCAAAATTTTAAACCTTCTAGTATGCTTTGTTTAATCAAAATTCATAAATCTTGAACTCTAATTTAAGGCATAGTGAGCTCCAATTATACCCGTTTTTACTACGGTTGATTTCCTCAATTGATTTAAGTTTAGCAAGGTCACCAATTTTTCCTTCTGATTAGTATGTCTGGTAGAAATTAAAGCCTTAGTCGTATAGCCAACTTTCGCACCCTGGCATACTCTTATTTTATAATTACATTTAATTAAAGATTATTAAGGAAGAGCTTACCAGAAGACGTTATCAAGGTGTCACACTTATCTGAGTATTTTGAGTTCAGCTTCTTACAGGTAAGTTCACTACACCTGTACATGTTTGTTCAATCAAATAAAAGAAAGAAGTCTAGTTGATTTTTAATAGATGATTTTAGTCTATTTGCTATTATGTGAACTTGGTGAGTTATTTGCTGAGTTATTTTATTTGTTGTATTGAGTTATGTTTTGTCTGGCATAGTCAAGATTTTGTCAGTACTTTTATTTTCAGAGTTGATGTTGTTTTATCCAAACGCCATTATAAAAAAAAGAACTAGTATTTAAAGTGAAAGATTAAGTGATATGTACTCAGGAACAAGTTCCCACAAAGTTACAGAGTTATCAGAGTTTCAGAGAGTCCAATATGTTTAGTGGGTCACTCCCCTGAGCTGTCGGATTGACGCTTTTGAGTACATATCACGGGCCCACAGAGTAAAATCAGCCACAAAGAGTATTACAGAAACTTTAATCAGATCTCTTTCAGAAAGTTTTACAGAAAGTTGTTTTTGAGATCTCTTTCAGAAAGTTTTACATAGGTGTTTTGAGAAAGAAATTTTGAGATCTCTCCAGCAGTTTTGAGAAATTATTTTAGAAAATATTTTCCTTTTGAGATCTCCCTCAGAATGTATTTGAGAAGTTGTGTGTTAGTAATTTGTTCAGTGCATGCTTATAGCCTAAATTTATCTATTGATAAATTGGCATAGACTTCTACATATTTTTGTGGATCCATAGTGACTTACTAAGCGTAAAGCTTATCAGTTTTCTTTCTTCGCATGTACAGATACTAAAGCTAAGGGTAAGGCCCATGCCGAGAAAGATGCTGAGAGAGTGGAACGCGTGCCAATATGAGTTAACGGGAACGATCTTGGCGGCTTCTAGCTAGATATTATTTTGTTTCAGTATTTCAGTGTTATAATAAAGTGATGGCTAAAGGGTCAAATAGGTCCCTGTACCTTTCCGGATTGCTCAATTTGCCCCCTGAACCCCCAAAAGCTCCAACTAGCACCTTGAACTCGATAAAAAGATTCGAATTTCACTTTTAGCAGGTCACAAGCCGGTCATCGCCACGTCACCCGGTAGGGTGCCAACTGTGCATGTGACGTGGCAACTTAGGGGGTCAAATAAGCCCCTGAACCCGACCGAATCGTTCAATTTACCCCCTCAACCCTTAAAAAATGTCAAAATTACGAAAAATAGAAATAAAAAATGAAAATAGAAAATAAAAAATAGAATAAAAAATAAGTCAAAAATATAAAATATAAATATTTTTCATATTTTTTGGTAAATTCAAAATAAAGAAATAAAATATAAACTAAAAGAAATTAATTCTTACATATAATACGATAAAAAAGTGTAGTTACTACATGTAGTTACTATTTTTATATTTTAATTCTTATATATGAGTAATTTTTATGTTACTATATATATATATAAGTGTAATCGGTAACTTTGAATTAGTTACATAAGAATTGTATATTTATTTTTAGTATATTTTTAAATAAATTAAGAAATACGTAGTGTGAAACAAAAAAATACAAATGAATAATTTAAACATAATGCTTCGTATAAATTATCAAACCAAAAACCTAAAATTTGTGTTATATTACAAACCATTAGATATAATACACAAAATAAAAATTTAAATATAGTTGGTAAAAATACATTGCTTATTTCTTATATGAAATATACGTAGTAGTTATAAAATATGGAAATAAACTTAAGATTGTTTTAGTTTATATTTTACTTTTTATTTTGAATTAACTGTAAATGATAAATATTTCATATTAATATATCTTATATTTTAGACATGTATTTTATTTAAAATTTTATTTTATATTTATTATTTTATTTTATTTTATTTTATTTTATTTTTAAAATTTGACATTTTTTAGGGTTGAGGGGGTAAATTGAACGATTCGGTCGGGTTCAGGGGCTTATTTGACCCCCTAAGTTGCCACGTTACATGCACAGCTGGCACCCTATCGGATGACGTGGCGATGACCGGCTTGTGACCTGCTAAAAGTGAAATTTGAATCTTTTTATCGAGTTCAGGGTGCTAATTGGAGCTTTTTTGGGTTCAGGGAGCAAATTGAGCAATCCAGAAAGGTACAGGGACCTATTTGACCCTTTAGCCTAAAGTGATAAATATTACTTTATTTTTATTTGAGGATTTGAAGTTCAGTAAATTCCCAGATCCAGGTGGTTATCACATTTGCTGGTGATAACTAGATTTTATTGAGTTTTTATTTGGAGCTATATTTTAGTTATATTTGAGATTTTATCAGGGTTATTCTTCTTAAATAGATGCCCATTATATTACAGTTATTTTTAAAAGTAGTAAGTTAGTCTAACGTTTCCTTTAACCCTGAGAGGGGCGTTACAAAGCCCCCCTTTGTGATCTTCCAATTTCTGTTGCCGAATGTAACTGAATAACCTTCCTCATCTAGCTGTCCAATTGAAAGAAGGTTTCTCCTCAAACCAGGAATGTGTCGGACACCATTTAGTTTCAGCATGCATCTGTTTGGAGTCTTCACGTGGACTGTACCCTTTTCGACAATTTTAAGAGGCTCATAATCAGCAAGATACAACTCTCCAAAATTGCCGGGAGTATACTGTTCCATCACTTCAGCATTACCATATGAATGGAACGAAGCTCCAGAATCCATAACCCATGACTCCAACGGACTACTCAGGAGATCATCGCCAGATGATTCTGCCGCTGCATTGGCAGATGTCTTCTCCTTCCGATTCTTGATCTGCTCCTTGCACTAGCTTTTGAAGTGTCCGTACTCCTCACAATTCTAGCACTTGATCTGACTTCTGTCCTTCTTACCATTGCTGTTTGATTTGGATTTGGATCTTGATCTATCCCGATTTGACTTTGACTTTGATTTCGTTCTGCCCCGGTTCTCTGTACTCAACACCGATCAAGAAGCCAAACCTGATTCCTTTTTGCGAATTTCTTCGCTGACCACCGGATTTCTGACTTCATCGAATTTCAGTTTCTCCTTCCCTACCGAAGCGCTGACTGCAATCACCGTTCCGTTCTAGCTTTCTGGGAGAGAAGACAGCAAAATTAGGGCATGAATTTCGTCGTCGAATTTTATCTCAACCGCGCTCAACCGTGTGGTGATCACTTTGGACTCGTTGAAATGATCCACCACTCCCGTGCTTTCTGACATCTTTAGGTTAAAAAGACGCCTCATCAGATGAACTTTGTTCACATCGGATGGTTTTTCGTACATATCTGACAAAATTTGCAACATTTCCTTCGTTGTTTTTGCTTTGACGGTGGGTAAGGGCGATGTTTCTGGACAACGATAATCGAACCAGGCTCATCGCTTTTATGTCCAACAACTTCCAATCGCTCTCCTTCATGTCTTCTGGCTTATCATCCAGTGGTTGATACAGATCTTTACCGTACAGGTAATATTCGATCAGCAACTTCCAGAATCCGTAATCCATTCCGTCAAACTGCATCACCGGTGTCTTCAAATTGTTTGCCATCGTGAGATCTCCCTTCGAACCTAGGGCTCTGATGCCAATTGTTAGGAATTTAACTCACGCACGCGATGAATAATTAGAAGAACACACGAAAATTTGGTAACCTAGTTCGCCACGAATGACTACGTCTGGAGGCGCTACCAAACCAGGAATATTATTGTTATTTTTGGATCTCCACACATTATTACAAGGGAGAGAACTTGTATTTATAGAGAAGTAAAACCTAACCCCAAGACAACTAGGATGCGTTTCCTAAAATAAATTAAGAAACATGTTTTCAAAAATAAATTAAGAAAAACTTGGTTATACAATCTCTAACACCTTACAAATATATATTCTAAAACTTCAAATTAAATATTCCAAAATTATATACGTAATTAAATTAGTTTGCTTTCACTAAAAAAGAAAAGAAATACGTAGTATAAGACTAACGATTTTTTTTAAAGGAAGAAAATCGAGAATCATAAGTGATGAAACTTTAATGTCTATCAAATACATATGATGATGTCCACGGCTACAACTGGCCCACATCAACGGATTCACATCTCCACTTCTTCCGGGCATCCCTACCCGTGAGTCACTGACTCACGGGTAGGAGGAGTCACTGACTCCTCCTACCTACTGCACTGGAATCCCCCCTTGGCTGAAAAAATCCCGCCCCGCCGGAACTTATGCGTATCCACGTCTTATAGTATCAAGCCGTGTCTGAGACCTACGACCCAATACCGGTCAACCATTCGCCACGCCGCCGCCACGTTTGAGTGCGTCGTAACGCTCCTTCAAACGCCCTAGCTTTGGCGCGCCACTGCTTAATAGGTGGAGGGGCATACTGTCAGCAATGGAGGCATGTGCGAACCGGAAGGAGAAGAGGAAAGTAGCAAAAAAGGACAAGAGGAAGCAAAAGAGGAGGGAGGTGGCTGAGAAGTTACGAGCGGAGGAAGAGGCCAGCCTTCATGATCCTGAGCAGCAACGCAGGATTCAGCTCGAGGAGGAGGCAGAGAAGCAGCGGCTAGAGAGAGACAGGAAGGAATTTGAGGAGAGAGAGAGGCTATTTCTCGAGGAATTAGGTCGCAGAAAAGCACAGGAGGAGGAAGAGCGAATAAGAGCTATTGAAGAAGAAGAGAGGTTGAAACAAATTAAGGTTTACACACTTCGCCAAATTCCATGCTATTGTACACAGTCTATTTCACGCATATTTATGTGTCATATAGATACATGGATATAAATACCTATGCTCATACACACATATTGCACTTATTTCTCTTTTCTCGTACTTACTACTATAAACCTTAAGTAGGCTGAATGTGAAAATGAAGAAAATGATAATGAAGAGTGGGAATATGTAGAAGACGGACCTCCTGAAATTATATGGCAAGGAAACGAGATAATTGTCAAGAAGAACAAAGTTCGAGTAAAAAAGCAAGCTGTGGAACATCTGGCAATTAAAGAGGTTGTAATGACTAACTACTTTCAGAAAATTTTCCATTGCTCTCTATTTCGGGACCTGTGGGAGTGTGGGATACTGATCTGAGGCATTTTTTTTAATAACATAGGGTCCTAGGCCAACATCAAATCCTTTACCTCCAGAACCTGATGGATACGTTAATGCTTCTACGATTTCAGCACAAGGACTTTTGGAAGATGTTGCTCAACAAATCCCAAATTTTGGGACAGAACAAGTATGTCTTTTAGCCTACTATATTAGCATCTTTTCCCATAATACCATGATTATATATTCATTCAAGGATATTTTGTGAAAGGTCTGAAGCATATCCCATCCTACTCCTAACTTCTTCTTTTTCTCCTTTTGATGTCTCATGATCTCATCACATGGTTTTATGTCTTTCAGGACAAAGCTCATTGTCCTTTCCACATCAAAACGGGAGCTTGTCGGTTTGGGTCACGTTGCAGCCGGATTCACTTTTATCCTGACAAATCATGCACACTACTTATAAAAAACATGTACAACGGACCTGGTCTTGCCTGGGAGCAAGATGAGGGGCTTGAGGTCTGTTATGAAGTCTTCATGTGGCTCAAGTATCCTGATGCTTAGTTTCCATAAATTATTTCACACAGTGCATGCATGAATGGAGTTTTATCTACAATGGGTGAAGACTGCATGTTATTCTGCTCTTTGTTCTTTGAACGTATCCTGAATCCGGATAGGCATATTTTGGCTGATTTTTACAGATCGTTATAAGCTCCTGAATTATACATATTCAGGACTTTTGGTTTGCTTCCCAGACTCAGGCATGTATATAAATATATGAAAAAGATGCCGACTGTGCTGATCTCTCACTCTCCCCTGAGCTGTCTGGACTTTGCATTGACAGCCTTGTGCTACAGTGAAGTCAGATGCTCGTGGATGAGAAGATCTATGCCATCCGATTAATCGGACGACTTGGCAGAGACAAACATGGAAGAAGGTGTTTGTCTCTCCTTACAAGCAGCTATCTGCTTGTAGTGGCAACTTAATGGAAATTATGAATGGATTCCGTGTAAATATTCAGGTCCTGATGTATATTCTTAAAAACCTTAATAATCAGCTATAGCTATATTTTTAGATCATTCTTTAACTTTTCTAGAACAGAACTACTGATCTGAAACAATGGAGGTACATGGTTCTCACACTGGTTGGGTTGAAGGCTAAAAAGTACTGTATCCTACTTGCAGCACTTAGTTAGAAGTTTGATAAATATTTGATGTGCAGTTATTTGTTTGTCCATGCTTTCTGAGTTACTTCTTTTACTCTAAGGTTCCCTGCTTTCTTTTATCCCCTGCATATGCTTATAGAGACACTCTTGACTACTTTTTCTCCAGTGCACAGATGAGGAGGTTGAAAATAGTTATGAAGAATTTTATGAGGATGTGCATACTGAATTTTTGAAGTTCGGGGAGATAGTAAATTTTAAGGTACACTACTTAAGCAGTTGAGTGCTTGACTGCTTGTTATCTCTAAGAGTCAAAGTTATGGAGACTGTCAATGTACTGTAATAAAAAATTTAGTTCGTGATAAGTGAAGACATAGTACCTCCGTTCCGGTGGACTTTGCCAAGTGCAAAGTAGGTGAGAAATAAGAAAAGTAAAAGTTGAGTGGTTGAGATTTGTGCAGAGGAGAGAGAAATCTGCAGAACCACAAATTAGTTTCTTTGATAAGAAAATGACAAAGTTTTTTGGAACAATAAAAAAGGGAAAGTTGGCAAAGTCCATTGGGACAGAGGGAGTACATTTTATGTAAAAAGTGCGTAAAAAATTTAGTTCGTGTAAACATTTTATGTAAGGGAAAATTCCCGAAATAGGAGTAAATAAGTTTGAAAATTCCAAAATACGACTATCATGTTTTTATTCCCAAAATAGGAGTAATTACTGCCAAGTTTGGAAAATACTGCCATGTTTATTGTCTGGTACTGCCAAAACATGACAGTAATTAGTCCTATTTTGGGAATAAAAACATTACAGTCCTATTTTGGAATATACAAACGTTTTTAGTCCTATTTAGGGTAATTTCCCTTTATGTAAATAATATCAACTATGTAGTATTAGATATATGTAAAAATGGATTCCAACTATCAAATCAGCAAATTAGTCGCCAAACACAATTTCAACATAAAAATGTATAACCCGAACATTTTGTGGTAAGCATTTCAGCTTATATGCTCAAGTAAACCAACAATTGCCTATAGGCCAAAAGATGTAGCTTTGAAATCTTGCTACATCTCCAGCAGCCACGCCAGCACATTAGCCGGAATTTACACCATAAAATTTGCTTGTATTTATTTTGTCATATATTAAAATAGTTTAACTAGCAGTTTGTAATTTCCAAAGTTGAAATTATCTTTGGTCTATAGCCAGTAGTTGAAATCGTTGAGTCATATATTTTCCCAATTGTGAAGCGGGGCCTTGCCATGCTTGGGGCTACATAAGTTTTGCTAGAATTTAAACTGCATGTGAATCCATGGATTTTGCTGCATTAGCATGCTTCTCAAGAAGGTAGTTAGCATCACATTACAACCTTGGTGTTTACCAAATCTCTATTTCATGTTTAGGTATGCAGAAACACTTCAACTCATTTGCGGGGGAATGTCTACGTACACTATAAATCATTGGATTCTGCATTGCTTGCTTATCGCTCTATTAATGGTCGTTATTTTGCTGGAAAACAGGTAGATGCCTTCTAATTTATTCTAAGATTGCTTTTCCTTTATACCTATTGAAATGAAAAGACGGGTATAGCCTGTTTTGTTCTCTGTCCTGTAGGTAATTAGGGCAAGTACTGTATTTAGGATTTCCTCTATCCCAGTTTTTGAGTCCTACTTGTGAAATGGGGCAAAGCTGAAGATATATTCAACAAATCTCTTGTAACATTTAATTGAATATAAGTAAATAAAACTTGCACATTTGATTTGAATAAATGACTTTAAATCTTTGTATACTGACCCCTAATAGAATCATTTGGGATTCAAAAGTGGAAGAAATGAGCCCCTTTTAGTTGTGGTCATGGAATAAATATTTTTTTGAATAAATTGAACATTTCTTTATTTTGGTTACTCTTTTACTCGTTCATCTATATCATTTACTAACATTATTTATGAGTTATGACTGATCAATTGATTTATAAATCGTTTAATTGTTTAATTGAATATAAGCAAATAAAACTTACACTTCTATACACTGCTTGAAAAGTTCTATAAAACTAGTAGTGACATGACTATTAAAGAAAATAAGCTACGGAGTATGAAATAAGATGCACTTTGAACATTATATAGTTACTAAAAGTCTACAACAAGTAAAATGGGACATTGGTTGCATAGTATATCATCATATTACCCTCTACTTTCTGATATTGGAAATTTCACACAATGTAGCATGCTCATTCATCCCACTTTTGATATCTGCATGTGTTTTGTGTACTCTGGTACTGCCATAAGTAAGTGGTAGGCATCATGGCATGAGGGTGTATATATTATTATATCATATATAGTATGCACAGTTTTGTTGGCTATCAAATACCATTTTTTATTTTCTTTATTGGCAATAATTGGTATGACTCTGTAGATTACATGTGAATTTGTTACCGTGACAAAATGGAAGGTTGCCATATGTGGGGAGTTTATGAGATCGAGGCTTACGGTAAGAATCTATCTCTTACTATTCATTCATGAATTGCTGTTTTGCTAATTTAGCTAGATGGTTTTGCCAGGTGTGATGTCCTTGTCTTAATTTTCTCCCTGTTGTGATGCACTATGAATAACTTTTAACTTTAAGAGTTTATTACCTTGACAGACATGTTCTCGTGGAACAGCATGCAATTTTATTCATTGTTTCAGAAACCCTGGCGGAGATTATGAATGGGCAGATTGGGATAAACCACCCCCGAAGTACTGGATTAAAGAGATGTGTGCTTTGTTTGGCTATTCAAAGGAGTTTTTCTATGACAGGAGAGTTGAGCAAGAAGATTCTGAACATGCAGCTGATGTATACAGGTACTTTGATTTTTTACTACAGTTGTTTAACTTTGCACCAAGTTTTTTCTATGCTTTCACTCTACGCCCTGAGCGGGGTGCATTATCAAATATTTGGGTAAACACAAGGACAAACCGATATCTTTAGCTTAATATTTTTTTTGCACCCCATGCTTTATTTTCATTGATTTTGAACCTTCCTCACCCAGGCTCTGGGTGCTAGTCCGTGGCCCGTAGTCCACATTCTAGAACTTTGTTTTGTGTATTTTAATTTTTCATCTACATTCATGAATCATTTTTATTTAATAGGCATCACTCGGAAAGATATCAGGCAAGAGAGAGTCGAAGGTCTCGATCAAGGGAGAACAGGAGTTTGAGAAGTCATAATAAGGAACGTAATGTTCGAAGTAAAGAAAAAGTCGGCGGACTCAATTGTCTTCTTGATGACAAAAGATGCAAAGATGAAAAAAATTCAAGATCAAACCAGTTTCATCACCAAAACATAGGCGACCTGAACCTCCATGATGAAACCCGTAAAAGATCAAGACACACCCTGTCTGAACAAAAACACTCCAAAGACTTTCATGATGATAATAAGTTCAGAAGTAGCAGCAGCGATTCTGAACACGGTTCACCGTCTAAAGATCACCATGATAATGTATACCACAAACATAGTGCACATGGTACTGATAGAAGTGGGGATAACAGGAAAGATAGAATCCGAGCAAACCGGAGGAAATCCTCAAGGTGTTTGAGTGATGATAGCTCAATCTGTGATGCTAGAAGAACTGATGATGATTTCGATTTTGATTGTGGGTATGAGGAATGCATATCTTACCACACTGGCAAAAAGGCTGACGAAAGAGGGCGGTGGGACCCTGACACAGGAGCCACTGGAGACTATGGTGTGAAGCATTTGGAATCTGGCAAGAGAAGTAAGAAGCGCCACAGAAGTCATCATCAGCACAGCAGAAACGATGAAGGCAGTTCTTAAGTACGTCGTTGTTAGTGCCTTGATATTTCAGTGAAGAAAATCAGGTCTGAATTGGCAGAGATAAGTATCTACCTATCCATATGATAGTCTCGCTTTAATGTCTTGAATGTAAATATATTTTGGCCAATGTGATATCTTTTTTTCCTATCGCTTGTGCCTTGTGGGTTATACTCTTCGCATGTTTCAAAAAAACTTGTGTTAGAGGCTCTCATCCTCAGAGGTATCAACCCGTGAGGCTTATCACTTTTTCAAACTGGTAATTTTTTTATTTTTAGCACGTTAAGTGTTATTTTTGAGCTTAAAATTGTCAGGTCTCGCAGGAACACATTCTCAGGTGAAATTAGGTGTTTTGTGAAAAATATTACTACCTCCTTCCCGTTGGAATGTTCCCATAGCAAAACGACACAGTTATTTAGACAATAATTAAATAAAGTACTTCGAGTATATTTTGAGACATAATTTTAATAGGTATATATTATAATGTAGTTAGTACTGATAATTGTGATGTTATAGATGTATTATTTTTAATATTTAATTATTTAATTTATCACTTAAGATCGTTAATTGTTTCCTGAAATGGAAATGAGAACCTTTATATGAGACGTTCAAAAAAGGAAAGTGAGAACCTTCTAATGGGACGGCCGACGGGGGAGTATTTTTTAACTATTATCGGGAAAATTGTCGACCTTTATTTTTAAATGTATTACCGCTAAAAAATCAATTGAGTCCTTGCCAAATTTATGTGTTAGCATCACCTCTGCCACTGCATTTGTGATGCCCATATCCTCCAACCAGAATTTTTAACTTCTAATTAATACATTTCCTACATTTCATTTTGAAAATAAAAATACGGGAGTATTAAATATTTGTTTGAATGGAAGTCATTCTGTCTATTGCATATCCCTAGAGTAGTAGAGCCAGAGACCTTAGAATCCTGACAAAATAATACAGAGCAATACATTTGCACAATAACACTCATATCTTGATCTGAAATAGCATATGAATAAGGCTCTACAAAGTTATCCTCAAAATAAGCTTAATAAAAGAAATAAATCAATAGTTTATATCCTGAACCAACAAAGTTCACATATTCCTAACATATTCCTACTGAATATAAACTCTCAGAAAATCCAATAACAAATAGGAAGAAAAAAAGTCAATGACTTTCAAATCACAAAAGCATTAATATAACGGCAGTTTACTTAGATTAAAAAAAGAAGTTGCCACTTTCCCACTCCTTGAGTATTTGGCCCTGTAAAATTTCGTATGAAGCTCGCGCAGTAGGTGATAGCCTACTCAAATCAAGATTCATAATGCGTTCTTGATCGGATCTTTTTTGGGCTCTCTCTCTTTGCTCTTGCTCCTTGAGCCTCATCTCTTGATCCTTCAACTTCAATAGATGGGATTCTTCCTTCAGTTTTTGATTGTGCTATTTTAACTCTATCTCTCTTTTCATCAATTGCTCTCTAAATGCATACTCTTTCTATTGGTGTTCCTTCTTTAACTCCAACTCTGCTGTACTAAGCTCAATCTGTCTATCTAATGAGCACTGTAATTTACTCAGAGTTTCTAATTTCTATCACCCCATTATCTGTGCTCAACTTCCGCTTTCTTTCTTTGCAGCTTTTCCTTCCTTGTGGACGAATAATTTCATCGCATTTCACTTGCTCAGGTTCCATAGAACAATTGGTAGTGTTGGGTGATGTGCCTTTATCTGCCACTGTTGTGTTTCTGTTGGTTAAAGAATCTTTATCAGATGGGCAACCCTTTGTAAGCTGATTTGTAGACCATTTTGGATTCTTTATCAACAATTCCCAACAATGAAGAATTTTGAACTCTTTCTTCTTCTTATCACTGAAAAGTGTTTCGTACATATTCAAAGCCTTTTTTTTCTAGCAAAAAAAATAAGAATCACATCAAATATAATATATAATAGTTGTGTTTCCTTATAGATAAGTGAAAATAGTATAATGAACAAACACTTACCATATCTTCACAGTTTGAACCACTTTGGGGATGCCTTGCAAGTTTTTCATAAATTCCATGAAACTTGTTGACCGCTTTCTGAATTTTTTGCCAGCGACATTGTACACTATTACTGTTTCTGGGATTATTGCATTTATCTCCCATGTTGTCCCTCCAAACTTGTAAGATCCTCTCCCACATAGCTGTCTGTTTTTTATTGTTACCCACATCAGGATCCATGGAAATGCTCAGCCATGCTTCTGTTAACGTAACATCGTCTTCTGAACTCCAGTAGTCTCTCTTAGCAGTTGATGATTGAGAGCTGTTGAGATTATCATGGACATTTTTGGTCTTCTTTTTCCCTGCTCCATGTGTACTTTGTGTTTGAGTGCTCTCAATTGAAATTATAGGAGTGTTTAGAAGATTTTGGTAAGAGAAGTGGGGGGCATATGAAGGAGGATATGTTCCATTCAATGAATTAAACTGATATGGAGGCTGAAAGGGATGGCTTATTGGAGTGAATTGATTTGGAGTTTGGCTTGACATGTTAGGATGGTTGGAGTGTTGGGAGCTTGAGAGCTGAATAGTCCGTGGATCCATGTCAAAACTGTACCTGTGCATAATGAATAACAAAACTATAGAATGATTGTTGCCTCACAAAAGAGTTAAATTCATGTAAGCATATGAACCCTCCTTAGTCCTTATAATATTGTTAGTTTTGCTTTTCCTGACCGTTGTTTGTAGTTTCAAAAAAATTGCAAGTCACCTTTAACTCAATGAAACTTTTAGCTAATCACATATTAGTTAGTAATAGTTCCAATAACCTTTAACTCAGGTTCCATACATAATTAGCACAGTTCATTCTCTCAAAGTTTTAGATATTAGTTAGTAATAGTTCCAATAACCCAAATTTGTTTTATTTCTATAAATCAGATTCCTCTGTTAGCTAATCACAATTGTAACTTATTCTATGGCCTAAAAATCACAAAGGCAATTGCCTACCCCTGGGAGTAAAAACATTTCTCTGAATTTATGAGTTCAGTAGCTTTTTGCTTGGCTGAATTTAACCAAATCATTCCTTATATAAATTCAAAGGTTCTTCCATCTCAGCCAAACACAATTAATAAGAAATATTAGCATGTCAGAAAAAAAGTCCAATTCAAATTTAATAAACATCAATCTCACAAGGTTAAGTCAAATTCACTTGGGTGAAACTAATATTATCAAAACAACATCAGACTTTAGATATATCTAATTCAAACAGATATTTGTTTTTAGGAAATCAGAATTTTAATTCCATTAAAATCCAACATACACTAATGACAACAAAACTCTGAGAGCTACCTAGACTATAGATAGCAAAGGACAATCAAAAGTAACAAACTCACAAAATAGAATGCACAAGAAAATAAAGAAAAGTCTCTCCACTGTCTATCAAGTACACAATTCTGAGAGTGGACACTAAACAAATATGTAATCAAATGGAAGCATGAACAAAGCAAGACATTATGAGGAAGCAAAAACACGATTCATTCCTTCTAGTGGGCAGCCTTAGTAAATTTAGCACCAGAAACCTCTTTCTTGTCCAAACACACACACACACACACACCTATATGATAGCTACAAATGAAAGACCTAAATTAATCGTCAGATTAGTTGAATGACTGAAATCTTTGGTTGAATTTAAGGGATGTGATACTAGTTTGAAAGAGAGTATGGGAGGGTTTGGCTAGTCAAACCCTTACCCAAGGAATCTGAAAACTATAATTTGAAAATCAAAAGCTGGATGATTTGATGGTGATTCAATAACCATCTCCTGTCTTCCTTTATTTTTGAAAATCGTTTTTCACAGAAAGTAAAATAAAAATGCCTAACTTCAGTTGCCCTTAAATTTTTCAATCCCTTCACAGCTTGAAGAGCTTCAGAAAACAGAACTATGGCCGATTACTATTAAACCTAATCACAATAACAAAATAGTTACAACCCAACAATAATTAAAGACGACCATTATGGATAGAAGAATTCCTAGATGTGCGAATTTGATTGAGTGTTCATCGATGGGGTTGATAAAGAGAAAAAATTGACATACCTGCGAATAGAGTTGGCTGCTTCAACTCAAAACTCTGTGAAGTAGATCTTTGGCGGAGAGACGGAGGTTATATGGGTTTTCATTTCCCTCTCTCAATATTTCGTCTGGCGCCTTTTTTTCAACAAAAATGGATCAATATTTCGTCCGGCGCTTTTTTTCCAACAAAAATGGATGAGTCAGCATGTTTCTCAGCCTTTCTACACTCGGAAGGCCACTTTCACGGTGTGCAATTTTTTTTGACAGCTCAGCAAAATAAAATGATGCACTACCCGCGTTGGAGAGAAAAATAAATAGTAGTCTATAAATAGTTGACGTGGCACCGCAAACCTAGACTAAACAGCGGTGCATTGCGGTTGCTCTAAGAGAGATGTTCTGTGGCTATTTGCGCAGAATGGGACTTTCATTCTGGACATACTGATTCATCTATTGACCAAGCTGTGTGTCCAAAGGGTCTTAAACTAGGGGTTTGGGGCTTTGGGCTAGAGATTTCCACGGATATCTGACTCTCCACCGATATCTCTCTAAATATTTTTTGTGACTCAAATAAGTTTCTCCAAATAAACGTAGGGGTTATAACTTAGAACCAATCTTAGCCGTCAAGAAGGTGCCTCGGAGCAGTGACAGTCTGGCAGATTTGGCAATCCAAATTTGGGAGTTCATAAAAATATTGCACAGATAAAAAACTAGCAAAAAGGATTACGGGTAAAAAAACTAGCAAAAAGGATTACGGGTAAAAAATATTATATTTAAAATATTGCACAATAATATTGTTTGATCCCACAATCGAACAAATTATAATCGAACAAATGTAACCTTTTCAACAATAAAAAACTAGCAAAAAGGATTACGGGTAAAAAAATATTATATATAAAATACAATATACTCCCTCCGTCCCTAAAAGAACTTCCAACTTTCCCTTTTCGTCCGTCCCAAAAAGAACTTCACTTTCCCTTTTTGGCAAAGAATTTGTGGTTCACAGCATTTCTCTCTCCTCTACACAACTAGTGCTGGACTCGGGCCGGGCGGCCCGGCCCGGAACCGGCCCGGCCTGGTTACTATTTGGCCCGGCCCGGGGCCCGGTGGGTCCACCGGTTCGGTTCGGCCCGGCCCGGCTGCTGGGCGGTTCGGGCTCGGGCCCAGGTTTTGGTGAACCGGCCCGGCCGGTTCGGGCCCGGTCCGGGCCGGATTTTAATTTTTTTTTTTTGAAATTTTTTTAAGTTTTAGGTTGGATTAGGTATTTTGGGCCATTTGAGGTGGTTTGGGATGGTTTGGGGTTGAGGGGGAGGGGTAGGGGATTAAATAGGAGAACAAAAAAAAAAAATTAATTGGGCCGGTTCGGCCCGGCCCGGCACGGTTTGGCCCGGAATCGGGACCGGAACCGGCCACCGGCGGTTCGGGCTCGGGCCTCCCTTTTCTGGCCCGAGGCCCGGCCGGGCCCGAACCGGCCCGCGTCCATCCCTATGCACAACTCTCCACCATACAATTCTCACTTTCTTAATCACCGTGCCACTTTATTTTGGAAGAACATTTAGGGACGGAGGTAGTATGAAGTATAAATTATTACATCAATGTTATACATGTACTTCTATATACGTAGTACAATATTTATTTTCAAAATTTTGATCTCTAAAAACCCTCTGAACAAGCGACTCCGGATTTGTCACCAATAAATATCAAAATTGTTTTCATAGCCGGAAATGGCGGGATTTCACCTCTAGATCCTATCTGCGACGTAACTCAGGGTCGGCCACGTCAGCACCTCCATCTACGTAGTAACTTGTAGTATAAATTATAACATTTATTTCATTGTAAAAGGTTAACAACTTTGTACTCTCAAGTACTATCCTCCGTTTCTTTTTAATCGCAACATGTTGAATTTTACACTATTCACGTGTTCTACTTTGACTACATTTTACGGTATTATTTTACGAAAATTATTTTTTAAAAAAGATATTGTTCAATTCATCTCATTAAAAATTTTCAAAATCTGATTTTTAATTATTTTTAACTACTAGAGATTAAGATATAATTACGGTCAAAGATGTGCGTTGACAAGTGTGAAATGTTGACCGTTGCAACTAAAAAAGAACGGAGGAAGTATTAGACTTCTCTCTAGCTTTCTTGAATATCACTCAGCTGAGGGTCGAAGTGCCGCTCGTCATACGTGTTGTAATCCTTCTATAGACCTGAATAGAATGGGATTCCACTTTGCCTTCTAATTACTCCGTATTATTTATTATCTGGCCTCATCATTTCCTTGCCACTAAACGCTCATTAAACAATCTACCCAACGAAGCAAATCAGACGTAGTTCAAAGGACCGTTTTGGACCCTTTGACAAAATTCATTAAAATGGGAAAAAAAAATTACTTAAGTAATCTAAACAAGTACAAAAAATATTAATCATAAAAAAAAAGTACAAAAAATATTACTTACGTCACCTAAACAAGTAGTACTCCGGTATATAATATAGATACTACATAAGACTAGTGAGTAAGGATCAAATGAGAATACTTCTTAAATCTTAACGTGAGAATTGAGAAATGAGAATGATCCTGGAGTGTTGGATTTTGGCATTGTGCATCAAGTAAAACAGAAATGTGCATATAAAAATTGGAAAATGTGCATTTCAAGTGTGCAAAAGTTTACACGTAAAAGTGCACATTAGAGTTTAGCATTACTTTAACTATAAATGTGCATTTTCGTGAATGGTAAATTGCATCGTTTTGGAGCATTCTCATTTCTCACAATAAGAAGTGTTCTCACCGGAACCGCACCCTAAGACTAGTAGCGCATTAGCTATTACCTACAAAATTGCGGATTAATTTTTTGTGCTGTTAAAATTTAAAACTATAATTTTCGATCTATATATCAAGACCACCATCTTGTTATCTTAAATATTTGCAAAAAGCAAATGTCCAAAACTAAGTTTATACTACTAGGCTGTGAAAAAAAACGAAACCGACTGACAAATCGATCGACTAAAATTGAAATCGGCCAAAACCGACCGACTAAAATCGAAATTGATCCAAATGAATGAATTTGTCAACTATTCGATTTACGATTTATGTTTTGCTTGAAAAATCGGTCAAACCAAAACCGACCGACAAAACCGACCAAAACAAACTAAAATTAACCGAAACCGATACAAATCGACCGAAGCAATTCAAGTTTTTTTCATTTTGATTTTCGGTTTCACCTATTCTAAAAGTCACTAAAACCAACCCATTAAAAACCGAAATTTGCCAGGGACAACTTAAAATCAAAACTCACAAGTGACCAAACCAAACTAGTTTATACATCCATGATCCATTCATGTGTCGTAATGGTCGATTTTTAACATAAACATCGTAGTTAAGAAGTTGCGTGTAATAGTTAGGTTAATTAATAACAGTGTGATGATAATACGATATCATGATAGAGCATTATTGTTCATTAAAAAATGATCGTTTTTTGTATTGTACCAAATTTCAGTGCTCTTATTCAAACAAACCCACAATGTTTTGTTCTGAACTGTGATGTGAAATCTCCCATTAATAAAAGCTGAGTGACATCCATATCCAACTACCTTTGGATCTTCCCATTCATGGTCCAAAATCCCTGAAGTTTCACGGCGAGTTTGATTGATGAGAGCGGACGGCCGCCGTCTTCTCCGCAACCACATTTCCCGATCTGTTAAAAGTCGGGAGTAAAACAAGCAGTGAATCATGGAAGGAGCGCCGTCGGCGAAAGTTTTTACAGGTTTCAGATTCGGACGGTGGAAGA